TTCTTCATTATGCATTTTTTGCCTGGTGCGACTTATACTCCGGAAAATACGGTACATCATTTTCTTGGACTAAAGCATGGCCTACGAGTCTAGCCATTTGAACCATATGTCCCTAACAGGTCCCAGCTATATGCATGGAACTTTATAGGTGCCTTAGAGTTTCTAAAGAGCCCACAGCTTCTCACTGTTGATTATTTTCACTGTTGCTAATAATAATCACAGCCCATCACACATGTTCCTTCCCTTCTGTCCTCCCTACCCCCTAGGGATGTTCACTGGTGTCCCTGTGGAATCTGTCCTGAGATGCTTGGATCCATTTAGGGAGAACGCACACACACGGTTGTTTGGGCCTAATACATCACTAAAACCGCTTGTGCTAAAAACGGATCCGTCTCCTTCAACGGGAAATACATGTACCCGCTAGTAAATGACGTTCAGGCCTAAGCTTTTTCAGCGCACATTTTACAGATCCGCTTTGGTATTATCCTGGCACGGAAAACTAAAGGGTGAAAAGGAGGAACACCTGTCACCATTGAGGATTAAGTGTGTAAGCTGCGTTGAAGCGACTGTCGCTGGAATGAAGGAGAGCGAAGAGGCTCAGGTGTTTGAACAGAATGTGAGACACTCACATTAGATAAAGACACAGCTACAAAGGTGGTAATGGATCTGAAGCCCTGATGACGCCAGTCTTGACGCGCTACATGAGCGCTAGCTTCAGTCAGACTATGAGTCAGTATGATTTATAATTAAAAGTATTTCATTAACGCAATGAAAATATGGGATGACACAGTTTCAGTCCTGATGTGCATCGCTAACTGGTATTGTAAGAAATAATTTGTTTTTTTCTATCAAAAATATTGAAAACAGACCAGAACTATTATTATTATTATTATTATTATTATTATTATTATTATTATTATTATTATTATTCACAATTGTGGGGAGTCACGCTCATTCATCAGACACACTTTTCTGTCAGGGTCTGCTCCTCTGCAGCAGAAACGTCCACCTCTGCTTAGGGGCGTGGCTTTCCTGTAGCCACGCCCCCTAATCAGCACAACTGCTTCCACCTGCTCGGTATATGGTACTTACAGCTTCACCCCACTCACTTGATTAGCATCAAGCGCTACAAACGTTAAGGTGATTTTTGATCATTTTTGAACACGGCGTAACGCAACAAGGAGCGATATGACATTCCTTTACTTCATTCATCTCCTGCTCCGATAGTGTAGACTTTTAGGAGTCAATTCCAAAAATCCATGGGGCGAGGGCACAGCCTGGACAGTTAACAAGTTGAGAGCACCAGTTAGAAACGAACAACACTTTTTTTTTCTTTCACAGTCAGATATAATCTTTGAATTTTTTCTTCATTATTTTTTTACTTCCAGTATATGAATATAACAAATCTGAGCGTATAACCAAATTTATGCAACTGCACATTCACACTCAGGCCTGCAGATGGTGTAAAACACCCATCGTATTTAGACACGCAACCTTAGGGACAATCAACAACAAATCACCGTGCAGCGATTTGTTGCTCACACACGGAACCAAAACGATTGCTATTCTGTAAATAGCTCCATGCAGCTCAGATCTCCCTGCCAATAACGCTGCTGCTCACCTTCTCTTTTCTGTTCTTCTGCACCTCTCTTGTCTGCCGCAGCATCTGTAACCTCGTTGTTTTCCAGATTGGATAAAAGAGAGACGCTTCCTTTGCTCTCCCTCTCCCTGCTGACTCCCGTCATTACTTGGCAAAAATCACAAGCTGTCTTTCTTCTTTATCAAAGTCAAATCTGTTCTTTTTGACTCATGTGAATGTTGGGTGTGGTTTCTTTTCTTTTTTTTTCTTCTTCTCCTTTTGGTCCGTCTTCTTCTACCCTGGGCTCTGAAATATAGAACAAAAACACAGGTGTATTTTTGCGCTTTATGATAGTACCACTAGGGGGCAGTTTAATGGCATTGTCAAAACCCCTATTGTCATTTAATTGAACTTAACCTTTATTCAAGAAAGTTCCTGAATTGTTACTAAAACAATTAATTTATTGCATGTCATATTTGCCCACTGCCCCCTAGTGGTTTGGCTTTTTTTTTATCTGTAATACTGTGAACTGTGGTAGCATTAATGTTGTGAGCCTATAGCCTTCCATTCACTCATCCCATTGCATTCTATAGTATCTTTGTAGTTGGTCGTTCTGTGTATTTTGGAAAAACAACATTGTTTTTGTGTTTTCCCTGCTCTTCTTCCTTTTGTCTGTGTACCCTACTTTTCTCTTCCCTTTGTTCCTCAGTATCCTTTCTCCCCATACAGTACACTGTGTCCAGCTGGCACCTGCTGCAGCCAGCCAGGTTCCACATATGCTGGGATACAGGGACAGGTTGAGCATGCCAACCTGTCCATGAATGAAGACAAATTTGGCCAACCAGCTGTTATTATAGTTTACATGTACTCTAAACTAGGGATGTCCGATAATATTGGCTAAACGATATCATCGATCCGATATTTAATTATGTAATATCTCTAAGAGTCCTTATTGGATTTTCTATCGAGAATGAAAACAGGATAACGCAATGCATGGGTTTGGCCCAGTGATGTGTGCCCTAAAAATAGTTTTGGGGGAAAAACGGCTGTATATGAAAGTGAAAGCCACTAGATGGCAGCATTGCAGTTTATCATTTTATCAATGTATTTTAATAATAAGGGGATTGTATGCAGAACGCTGGTGCCAGCAACGCATACAGTGCTTTGAACAGATAAATAAATAAATAAATAAATAAATATTATTATTAATAATAATAATAATAATAATAATAATGATGATAATAATATCTGAATGTGTAAGACTGATTAATATGATTCATATGTCAAATAATAATAATAATAATAATAATAATAATAATAATAATAATAATAATAACAATAATAATAATAATAATAATAATAATAATAATAATTCCAAAACAATTGTCATTGGCTGCATCATACGTGAGAATGAAAAAAGAGTCCACAGTGTGGGTACATTCAGTGGTACCACTTGTTGGGCTGCGTCTTGTTGACCGGCCACAATATTGAATTTGTTGACTCCTAGCACCGGTTGGGAATTCCTCTCTAGCCCATGGGAAATTTTTCCAAGAACTACTGACTTTTATCTGTGTGAGCTACTGACCCCCAAATCTCCCCTGTGAATTTGTGGTGGAAACTATTCTCTCTCCTGTCTATACAAAGCTGTGCACACACATCTGTATCTATTATTTTTAGTCTTGTCTTTAGTCATGTTCCGTGCCGTTAAAACTAGTTCCCATGCAACTAGTTTGCGAGCAGAACGGAGAAATACCCTATGCACGGAAGGCGTTGTACTCCATACATTCTTTAATTTGTGTTATTTTTTTGAAAACTTTTTACCCTTCATTATGGCTCCTCAATGTAGATCAGACTATTCTGATGTTTTGTCAGTGATCATGGGTGGCAAACATAAGGCCCGTGGGCCCAAAGCGGCACACTGGGGGGTTCCATCCGTCCCGTTTGATAAATGTTGAAAGTGAAAAAAATGCACCTCATGTTAGCGCT